GAGTCAGAGGCTTCCTGGCCCCGGACTCCCGAGTGACTCAAATTCCCTCCTCCAGCCCCTGCCAGCTCCCTCCTTGCCCAGGAGATGCCGAACAGGAAGCCACAAACAAGTCGAGCAGATGTCTCGCAACGCCAGAGCAGGAGGAAAGGACTGCTATCCGCCCTCCATCTCCATTCCAGGAGGACCTATCACACCTCCTTGGCCAAAACCTTGGCCAACACCTGCAAACCGACCGGTCCCTGCGACACCGCGCTCACAGCACAGCCCTCCGGCATCAGCTCAGGCGGATTTTTAAGCAGGCGAGAGGCCATAAAGCAATCAAGGGAGCTGAGAACATCCCAGCGCCACATCCTCCTGGCACCTCATCCCAGAAAATTCCAAAAAAAGGCCCATGTTTATTTTATTTGCTTCAAGGATAAAACGACGAGCCGAATCTCTTCTGCCCAGTCTCAGCTCCAGAAGCACGCAGCTCGTGCCTGGGAATTATCCCAGGAACATTTTCCAGATCTCCCACACAAGGAGCAGGCAGCCCTTCCCCACGCCGGGCTTTCGGGGTGCTCCCTCCCACCGCCGCTCCCCGCCAGTCCCATACATTCAATTTCCCTGATTTTTTTCTTCTCCTTTTGCCCCCTCTCCTCCAAGAGCCGGGCAGTTTCCCAGCCAAAGCCAGGCATCACGAGCAGGGAAGACAAGCCCCTAAAGATAAAACTTCACAACCCCTCTCGCTGCTCTCTCAGCCCTTAATTGAGATCTTTTTTCCCCAAAAACGTTTTGCTTTGTCGCAAGCAACGCTTGTGCCAGCCATCCTCAGGAAGACTGACAACGGTTCCCATCATGCGAGAGGCCAGTGCTCCAGGAAATTCTCCTTTAAAATCCAGGAGAGGAACAGCAGAGAAAAAAGCTTCCAAAAACTGACCCAAGGTGCCCATATGCAATATTAGAGCAAATTCTGGGTATGTGACATTCTACTTCAGAAGGACCATTGAAGGCAATAAAGAATTACACTCTTGGCTCATCCTCACAAGGACACATCTTTGAATCTATCTGAGCTGGGCAGAACAAACAGATCTGCTTTTGCATGGCCAGGGAAGCTCATCACACCCTCAGAGCATGTGCTGCGGTTTTGGGGGGGATCTGTTTTGCTCCCCACACATCACAGCCCCATTGCCCTGTTCTACAGCAAGGAGGGGAAAAAAAGAAAATTACAAAATTCAATTCAACCTTAATGTTGAAACAAAGACCAACACCTGCACAGTAACACGCTCCAGGACACTGCTGGGTACCCAAGGGGGGACGGATGCTGCTCAGAGCCACAACCCCCTGAAAATCCACTTTCCGCCCCAGCTCCTGGGACACGAGCAGACCCCAACCACCTCCGGCGCTCGATGGGGTGCCCCCCCCCCTTCCCTCCCCATCACCTGGGAGTAGGACAGTGGCTCCGGCTTTATGCTACTACCCATCAGGAGCTCACAGATAACATCTCAGTATCCTTTCTCCTGGTGTCAGAAGGTGGTGGGAAAGATTAACTACAGCCATTAAAGTTTAAAAAAAAAAAAAAAAAAGAAAAAAATTTGTTGTCGGTGTTGCAAAGTGCACCCAGCTGAGCCCAGTATGTCAGCTCCGGCTACCGGCAGTTTTGAGCCCCTCCAGGTGATTTTTGGGTGGCACCTGCATCTGCCCACCCGCAGAGGAGCATCCCCGGGCAGACAGCCCGGCCACCGCCGCACCCCCGGCCCCCAGCTCCCGGTCCCGCTGCAGGTTCCTTGGGAGCGATCAGGTGGCGGCATCCGATTTCCTCATTGTTTCGGGAGGTGTTTTCTGATGGGAAAGGTGAAAAGGGTATTTGTGAGCCTTGTAAACCGATTCCTCCGCGTTGGGTAAACAAGGGGAGCTCTGTTGGCAGCGGGATGCTGGGATGCCGGAGCAGAGAGATGGGATTAAAGAGCAGCCTCTCTCCTGCCTTTTTTTTTCAGGGACCCCCAGCCCCCTGCAGACCGGGCAGACCCCCCTCACCTGCACAGAGGGCTGGTCCCCACTCAGGGCTCCAAAAAAACTCCAGTGGGACTTGATGGAGTGACTGGGGGGGGCTACAAGTGGGACCTGCTGGAAGGACCATGGGCTTGGCTGGTGCCACCCCAGCATCACGGAGGCGATCTGCTGGGAGAGGAGAAGGAACAGGGCAATAAAAGACAATAATTCCTTGAAACAGGCAGTGGGGCTGCTGGGGGTCCAATGACCTGCTCTGTCCCACCGCTGCTGGAGGCTCGACAAACCCAGGAACATGGGGTAAAAGGCAAAACCATGGAAGTGTGGTCGGAGCAAGCTCAGGATTCGTGCTGGATACGACACCTCCCTCATCCACACCCACCCCACGCAGGCTCC